CGAGACGATTTTCTGGAGATCGCATATCCCAAATTAATGTTAATCATACATATTTGTTTTCTAATAATGCAAATATTTAAAATAATTTGTGTGTGTATATATATATATATAGTTTTAGTCAGTTTTCCTTTTAAATTCTATATTTAAAGTATCCTTTATGTAATATGGCTTCTTGTGCTGTAGCAACGTGCCGTAACACTTATAGAAATACGAAAGAAAGAGATATTGTATTTCATTCTTTTCCAAAGGATAATTTGCTTTTGACGAAAGAATGGATACATAAATGTCGAAGACAAGATTCTGTTAATGTGAAAAACGCAAGAATTTGCAGCGAACATTTTCTGTGCAGTGATTATGAAGATCACATGAGAAATCGCTTGCTTGGATTGCTGCAAAAGAAACTGTTAAAATGCAATGCTGTGCCGAAAGTAAATTTATCGTGCGCAGTAAACGAAATAACACAAAGAAATTGAAGACATTTGAAAAGAAAACTAATGCAGAGTGCTTTTGAAAGACTACACGAATTAAGCCCAAAGAAAATTTATTTTGAGGCCGAGAACAAAATTGAAGCTGACAATAATAAATCAAATGTGAATGATTTTGAAATAAAACTCACAAGTGACAATGCCCTATGTGACAATATCCCTGAGTGCCCTAAGTGTAAAGATAAACAAGAATGTATTGATAATTTGAAGAACAAAATAATATCCTTAGAAAATTGTAATAAAATATTGAAAAATAGAGAAAAGAAAAATTTTAGAATGTTTGCTCAGCGACAAAGAAGGTGGACGACGCCTAGAAAGAAATTTGTATCGGAAATTCAGAAATTAAAATCCCAAACAGCGAAATTTAGGAAAAAACAGAACAGATCGGAGAATTTGGAAAAATGTCTAAAGCATATTTTTACAAAGACGCAGATTAACGCATTGCTAGAAAAGAAGGAAAAAATCAGGTGGACTAGTGAAGATATTTCACGTTGCATTGTCATAAGAGCTCTGTCATCTAAAAGCTACGATTTTTGGAAAGAAAAAAATGGGAATTCCTTTACTTAGCACTAGCACATTAAAGAGATGGTGCGCTAAATTTTCATGTAGTCCAGGAATTCAGAGTGATGTTTTTGCTTTGTAATGAAGGAAAGATGTGCCAATATTTGAATTCTGTAGAAAAAAATATGTGTTCTTAGTTTCGACGAAATGCACATAGATTCTAAACTCTGCTATGACTCTAAACTGGACCAAATTCTCGGTCCTTTTCAAAAAAACACAGTTTGTTTTAATCAGAGGTCTCATTTCGCAGTGGAAAAGCACCCAATATTTTTTGATTTTAACACTCCAATGAAGAAAGAACTTCTTTTTTCACTCATAAGACATATTCAATCATCTGGAGTAGAAGTGAAAGCAATAGTGTCTGATTTAGGAGGATCTACTACTTTGAGGGAAAGAAGTTACATATTTCGATTAATAGTTCTCAGTTTCCAAATCCAGTATTCCAAAACGCAAAAAAAATATGGGTTTTTGCAGATTTAGCGCACTGCCTCAAATTACTGAGAAACCACTTTTTAGATAAAGGATTTGTTTTAGAAGATGGAACTGTTTTAAATGTTAAGATATTATTAAAGAGGTTTTAAATAAAGATTCAGGAGAAATTAAATTGTGTCACAAACTAAAACCAAATTATTTAATGGTCAAGGGAAATGAGAGACAAAAAGTCGCTCCAGCTTTTATTGTATCCTCTGTTATTATTGATTCGATTTTGTGTTAGCTTAGCATTCTAGATAAAATATACATAAAGTATGATATTAAAGTAATTGGCATAAGAAGACCTGCCCCCTAATCCCCACTTTTGAAAAATTAAATAATTATTTTAGGTACTGTGAGTAAAGTTGTTTTGTCTAAATTAAGATAAGAATCTTACATGTATTTATTTAAATGAAATATTGATGTAAGCCTAAGTTAAAAAATTATTTAAAAAAAATATATGTTATTATATTGAATCGGGATAAAAATATGCCAATGTAAAATTTACAATTAGGCTGAAACTCAAACTTAGATTAGCAGAAATTTTGCCATATATAACCATACATGTTTAAAACTATGCCAATTTAAGGTTGTGTTTTGATTAATTTTAAATAGCTGTTATTAGTTATCTTAGAAGCAGTAGTACAGTTCTCTTAGTTAACATGCAGATAAAGAAATGATTAGAAAAAACAGGCATTTAAAGCAAAAAAAAAATCCCTGCAAATAAAAACAGGAACTTTATGCTAAGAGTAGCGCACTTTATCTCTTATTTTAAAATTGAGTAAGTGCTATTAAATTTTGTAATGTTCAGTGTAAAATGCATACTGCAGTAACATTGTCTCTTCCAAATTATAGCTATCTTTCACACACAGCTCATTTAAACGCTGGTTCTTCAAATTTAAAACGCTAATTTCTATGTTGTCAATTGCATCTCCGCGCTCGGTGGCATCATTGCTACGTCATCACTCCTCACTGCATGTTTCAGGGGGAAATGCTCTATGAGTTAGCCCTTCTCTCTAGTCCTGGGTTTATCTCAGACTCTTACATAATATACTTTATAAGAATTTCTGTTAATATGCCAACTAAAAAATTGAGATTGTAGAAGAAATGTGTGATAAAAATAAAGTAAAAGCTTAACAAAACAGGCTTTTGTTGCAAAAAATAATTTTATAAAGGCAAAATGCCCATTATAGTATTACTGCATAATTATAAAGAGAAAAAGAATTTGCATATGGCATCTAAAAATTGTAACATTCAAGATATAAAGTTCGAGATTCAGAGCTAATAGGACTTCCGTGATCCTGCATTTTGAAAATTTCCAAATTTTAGGTTATCAATTTAGATCTAGTAAAATGACATGTATAAATTATAAAATTATAAAAAGAAACTCTATAAGTATTTGTTTGTTTTATTAAATTACATAAATAAATATTATTTGTTTATTTGTTTATACTATTTAATGTAAGTTGTTTCTTCAGCTGTTTCATTTTTTGTGTTAATATCTTCTCTTTAATTTTATAATAGATGTAATTTCTTGTTTGGTTACAAAGTTCCATTTTTCAAGTCCTGTAGTTGCCATGTTAAGAATTCTTACTAAACTGTCAATGGAAATCGTTTTATTCTCAACATCCTCTTTGTCACTTTCTTCACTATCAGTAGCAATATTTTCTTCATTTAAAACCATACTACAGATTTCATCTGGACATTTCTTCACAAATTTCATAGAATGGAAAATTTCGCTTTTGCTTGCAGTCTTCACCACAGTTCCTTTTTTCTGTTTTTCCAATGTAATACTCCTCACAATTTTGGACCAATTATGCCTCTATTTTGAAGCAATTCTACTTTTTGCTTGACTGACACAGAAACATGCTTTTGCTTTGTAGATCTTATTGCAGCTCACGAATTAAGAATTCTTGTCAACATAATTGAAAATTCAAACTTTAATTTTTATAAGATTGCTGTAACTATAATAGCCTGCAAAAAACAAAAAACTGGATCAAATAAAATAGTTACAGAAGAGCACAACTTGCTATGTTGACTGTTCCTAGGAATCTAATTCTTTCTTCTTTCCTTGCTAGTATGCCAGCAAAAGAAAACCAATATAAGCAACATCCCCTCCAAACAAATATCTCGGAACTTTTATGTTTAGGCCAAACAGAAAAATACTAACCCGTCCACAATTGCTCAAGTGACAGAAGTGTGGTCATGGCTAATGTCAATTACGTACAGTAAAAGCCTAATTATCCAGCATTCAACTACCTGGAAATCTATTAGAAATTTTAAAAAAAAAAAAATCATTCAAAAATTTAGTAAATGAGAGATTTGTAATGAGTTTGTTATAAGTTGCATATAAGTATCAGAGTTTGTTATAAGCACATATATAAAGAAAATGTGCGATTTAGCACCAAACATGGATAAGCATGTCACAATACAATCATAAGATTTTGGCCTTGGTTTTATGTAAACCTAATTAATTCTTGATGAGCCAGTTTAACTTTTGTTAAAAAAAAAAAAAGATATAAGTTCTGTTATTTCTTTTTGGTCACATTTTGAAAAAATTATTAATATTTGTGACCTTTTATCATGGGACAGTATGCAACAGGGTAGTTTCTAAGCTATAGGATACTAACATCAAAAAAGACACAATGTGTGACTTTACTTGAAAATGGATAAACAATAGTGATGGAAGAATAAATATCGTATGATAAGTGATTTAAGTTTTCATATACTATATCCATAATTTGCAACTTTTTATATAAAGAATGATCTGCCGCATGAAACTTATCGCAGACTGACTGGTGTAAATGTGGCAACATTTCCACCAACTTCTGGTGAGATTTCAGAATTGGATGATATTTTACTTTCATGTTTAAGGCCTACAAAATATGTCAGCATTTATGTATGAAATGTATTTTCCCCAAAAAAATCTTATACAATTTTAAATGTAGACTTTTAATATTTCAGCTGGTAAGAAATAAAACAATTGTTTTTATAATTTTAAACTATGTTTCTTCCATTCGTTCGGCTTTTCTACCGAGTTCTAGTTTTATACGCTCAACTACCTGGAAATTTTGCATATCCAGAATTCGGAATTTCTTGAGCATTCTGGATACTTGAACTTTTATTTATATTGTCACTGGACATGGTGTGATTTCCTAGTCAGCGGGTGTCTGAAAATGACATAGCAGAATCTCAATTAGTCGGGAGAAAATTCACTTTTATGTCTCACCTGCTTTTTCTTGAGAATTATTATTAAAAAATTGCTGATGTTCTACAGGTCTCAATTTAGGATATTGTGCTGTATTACATATGTTAATACTAACCAAAACAGCCATTAAATTATTTAAAATTTTGATTAAAAGCAAACTTAAAACCTTAATTAAAATAATATTGCATTCCAAGTTGAACAAGAAATGAAAATATTTAAGTATTTCTCATAATTTATTCTGTATTATTAAAACTGAGCTTACGTAACTCACTTACTTTTTGGTCAAGTTTCTTATTTTCCACATCAGTAATTTCTCCACGAAATGAATATGCATAGGTCTTATTTATTCTAGCCATTGCTTCAACAGAAGTCTGCTTAGCTACTTCCATAGAAAAGAATAAGTTATCTGGTGGAATGGTCAGATTTCTTCCATAACCTCTACCTGGAACAACTCGAATATGGCCAACTTCATAGTCTTGTCCACCATAACGAATAATGGCACCAACAACTAAACCTATGTTATAAAAAAAAATGCTTTTAAAAAATTGAGAATTATGATTATGAGATAATGAATGTGAAAATTAATGCATAAAAGTAATATAAGCATACTATAAGCAGAATGAGCAAAAAGTTGAAAAAAAATTATTTTCTATTTTTAACAGCATGAAATCTTATATTAGTCAAAAATAAACAGCAAAATGATACACAAAAATAAATTGCCTAATTTGAATTAATTTTCTCCTTGCTAGCTAATAAACATCTAGTTATCATCTAGAAATACTGTTTAGAATTTTTGTACATGCTATGCTTGAAATATATATACCGTATTTGATGGCATATAAGACGCACCTTTATCTAGAAGGCCACACACATATAGATGTAGAAAAAGTTATGTGTGTCTAGACCTTTATCCAGGCTAAAAACAGCATTCAGTATTGAAAGTTAACCTGTGTCCTAATTTAGGAAAAAAAGTGCGTCTTATATGCCGTCAAATACGGTATTCCACTTTTTTTAAAAAATTATTTTACACAGGTGAAAATGTATGACCAAGGAGATAAATAATGGACTTTTCCTTTTTATTCTATTAATCCAGTAGTTTTCAAACATTTACACCCCATGCACTCCTTTCACCATTGCTTGAAGATTACCTCTCCCTCTTTTTCCAAAACTTGAAAAATATGCACACAGACATATATATATGTAAGATATAATAAAATACAATGGCTAGATTAAGAGATAATTGACAACCTCAAAATTGACTATTCTAAATTTGATGTTCCCCCCCAAGTTCATCTTTTTTCCCAAATCCGTGATCTTTCCAAATTACATAACACTATTTGAAAAGAGAAATAAAACATAAAATTAACCTTAGCTGTACATATGCACCTACCCACTATAAATACTGTTTCGCGAGCAATTACCTCATTTCTTTTCTTAACTTATGTCCTGCAAACATCTCTGCGCTGCTATGCTTACCAGTTTAAGATGTCATACTTTTTTAACCTGTGTACCTAAAAATTATTGTAGCTGCTTATGATAAAAAATATCTTGTTTGCAGGCAACAGATTTAGTGTTATTATCAAGAACAAAATTATGTTTCGAAATAGGAAATTCTGGAAATTTTTGGTTTATGCATCCATCTTTCTAATTACGCTGTAAAGCCTCACCAATGCCAATCTGTTGAAACTTTCTTCAAGTCTAAATATCACATATATATATACATAGAGAGCAGTGGCGTGCAGTAGGTTTTCATGCAGGGTGTGCAGAGAACAGCAACAATAATAATAAAACCATAAAAATGTACATTAAACACTTCTTTAACTTTTTATTATTCATTTGTACACAAAATCCATATGTCTATCCGTATTATTAACAAAATCATCAATTACATGATCATAAAACTCTGTTTTGACTGTAATAAGTGTAACATTTTTTTTCTATTGTTATTAGAGATAAATTGCTTAATCTATCCTGGCTCATTGTATTGTATGCATAATTTTTTACCTTTTTCAGTGCTGAAAATGATCTTTTCTTAAATGTGCCAATTTATTAACTTCACTTAGGGCATCTGTTCAATCATTCAGCCTTATATGCTGAATAAGTTTCGATAAATTCATTTCGTGGTATGACTCACTACGATAAAGAATGCATAATTCATTGGTTAGATTTACAAAATCGAAATGTTCTGCATAAGCGTTCTTTAACGAATTAAGGCATTCCTCCAGAAATTTACTTTGATATTTCTTAAAAAAACTGAAATTCAATAGTTCAAAAAATTTGAACAAATTTAATTTTTTTAAAATGGACATCTAACTGACAATAAATAGGGTCCATTATTTCATAATATAAATTTTTAAAATGTTGGTCTTGTTCTACACTTGAGTTTTGTAAATTTACACGATGTTTTTTTAAATTTGGGGGACCCACTACAGAAATAGTCTCTTCATAAACTTCATCAAATGCAACAGAAGTTCGCATATTTTGAATTGCATCTTTTACTTCCTCTACTTTTTGACTAGAATATACTATATCTAAGTTAGTTTTTTGTAAAATATCAAATAGAGCATCAGTATAACTAAACACTTTGGTCAAAATATTTAGGAGAAAATTACCTTTAAAAAATTCTTTAAAAAAACATGTGATAACTCTTTGCAACATTAATTGTATCGTTATCCCAGCCTTCTAGATTCTCAATAATATTTTCAAATAAATCAGATAGGCCTTGCTTTTCACTTTTTATGGTATTTATCAAACTAGATGAATAGTTCTAACGTGTTGTAGCTAATTTTGGTAATTTTCTTTTAATAATCTCATTTAAAACATGATTTCTTTTTGTAGACACCGAAAAAAATGAGGCTATGCTAGAAATTGTTGCAAAAAATAATTTGCAATCTTTTATAAACAATACAGATTACGACAGAACTAAATTAAGTACATGTGCGCAACAATGCAGAAACATAGCTTTTGGGAAAACGTCTTTTACTTTTTTCTGCATCCCATTCAACGCTCCTGCCATGACTGCCGTTCCATCGTACGTTTAAGCAATCAGTTTATTCTCACACCCCCAACTCAAAATCGTTTCTTGCACAACATTACACAAAGCTTCCGCTGAACGATCACCACTAACATCTTTAAAAAACAAAAATCTTTCCACTGATGCACTAAAATTATTAACATATCGTAGCACAACCGATAATTGCGATTTGTGAGGTATATCAGATGTTCCATCCAGCATAATAGCAACGAATGGTGTTTCTTTTACCTCATTTCTAATTTCTGAAATTAAAATATTTTTTATCAATGCAAAAATATCATTTTGTATTCTATTAAAGGTTCCAGAAGATACAGTTGCAGTTCTTAGATGGGTTGCTAAAATGTCATCATATTTACTAATTAAAGTTATTACTTCTATATACACTGGTGTGAAAAATTTAAGCAACAATGTAAATTTTAATCAGATAGCCATTAAATTTTAGAAAAGGGGTTCTTGCATTCAATACAATGAACATGCAATTCAGTAGAAAGGTCATGCATATGCAAATGTCAAGAAAAAAACGTCACAAGCTACGTGAACGGATGCAAAACGCGTACGGTTGGCATGCTCAACTTGGGACTACCATAAAAGAAAGGATGGAGACGCAATTAAAGACATTCACTGCAAGTACAGGGAATTCTTTCGTGAAATATGGCTAGAAGAAATGATCTGGATGACTTCACATACGGAAGAATCATCGAAAATCTGGAGTAGGGGCGAAGTGTGACCAGTAGAGCTGAAGAGTTTGGAATCAACAAAAGTGTCTTTTCGCGCACTTGGAAAGCCTTACTAACCATAGGTACGGCTGTTAGAAAGGCTGGTGGTGGCCACCCAAGGAAAACAACTGCAGTGGATGACCGATATATTTTCCTGCAGGTGAAAAGAGCCCGAAACCAGTCACCAAACTCCATAGTTCAGCAACTGTGTACAGCAGCGGGGCGAAAAGTGTCGCGGTTTACTGTCTGCAGACACCTTCAAAAAGGTGGCTTATTCGCCTGCCATTCTGAACGCTGCATCCCTTTGAAAGTTTGCCAGCAGCGTCACCGTTTACAGTGGTGCAAGAAGCACAAAAACTGGGCATCTTATCAATGGAGTCGTATCCTCCTTACGGATGAGAGTCGTTTTAGTGCCACAAGCGATTCTCAACACAAATTGATTTGGAGAGAGGTCAGAAAACGGTTTAATCTCAGTAACATCACGGAAAGAGAACCGTTACGGTGTCCTGAAGATGTCGTTTGGAGACGCATGATGCTGAACGGGCGGACAGAGCTCCACGTTTTCGACAGAAGTTCTGTAACCGGAGATAGCTATTGTCAGGAGGTGTCCTTCCTCATATGCATCTGTTCCGAGGTGTCATTGGAGAAGACTTCATTTTTATGGATAACAATGCAGGGCCACACCAGACTCCTGCTGTTCAGAAGCTACTGAAAAGTGAAGATATCACTCGAGTGGATTGGCCAGCGTATAGTGTATTACGGCCTCTTGATTTAAATCCCACAGAACATGTGTTGGATGCTTTGGGGAGATGCCTTGTGGCACGATTACATCCTCCGGGGAACACCCAGCAACTAAATCAGATGCTGATTGAAGAATGGGCACTCTTACCTCAAGATCTTTTGAAAAAATCTGGTGCTGAGTATGGAGAGACCGTTCGAAGCAACCATTGCAGTAAGGGGAGAGCATATCTCATAGTAAGGAACATCTGCTTGTTGTTCTTCCTCTTTTACAGACAATCATTTATAATGATACTATTTAATCATATGAGTTCAATAAAGCCTATTTTTGTTTGATTTCATACTGTATGCATTGTATTAATTTTTAGCACAATTATGCTTTTGTCATCATTTAAATACAAAATGCTGTCACTTAATTCTGAATTTCATGTCTCTCAGATGATTTCTCGTGGAGTTATGCAAAAAAGAACACATGTAGCTTAAGTTTTGCCCACCAGTGTAATTTTCTCAATTAAGGGAATTTATATTCTCATTGTGTCCACGAAATGCATCTTCTTGTTTTGCTAAGTAAAAAACTACATCTATTAATCTCTTAATAATATTTCTATTTCTTGTTACTTTTCCATTGTGTTGAACAATTAATGAAGCCTTTTTGTTGATCTAACATTAAATCTATCCTGGCGGTACCAAATGTTTTTAATAGTGTATTACGGCATTTATGTGAGATTGTGTTTTTTCATGTTTCTTTGCAGCTTCGTGGAGATGATTTAAATTGCCATAGCCTTGTTTTGTTCAATTATTCTTGTCCTTTTCAATTAACAAAAAGTAAACATGGCCAACAGTACAACTTAATCAATTCACCGGTTAACCATTTTAATTTTTCATACATAGATTTTTGAAAATGTCGTACACACTGTTGTCCCTTAAAGTTTTGAGATATAATAATATCCAGCATTGGTCTACTTAATTTAACTATTTCTTTTTTTGTAGTAATGTCTCGTCTCGAAAATGGATTTTCCAATAAAT